ACCTTCAGTGTTTAACCACCCATTTGCATGATTTTTATGGTGCCTTCCCACTGGCAACCTTTCTGTTTGATAAATTTTGGCCAGTCAGGTGGTTAGGGTTGGGTAGTTTGCACATGGTGGCCAGCCAACAAAAATATATGCCAGGTTGGGCCAAATTGGATTTGACCGTCCTTTGACTGCATCAGCATTAAAGGGGGTTAACGTAACTTGGATTAATCTGAATTAATAATTGAATGTACATGTAACTGTTCTAACTTTCAATTTTAATTAAATCAGCAGTCTATTTTCGTAAATTGGTGGTTTTTTGAAATTTCTTTACTCCACATCCCTGTTTCCTTAATATTTTGGGTTATCCACCACCCCTCTCTTCGGTAAAATTTAACCGCTCAGTAACATACAGTAACAGTTTAATGACTGGCTGCATAGATTAACAGTGTATATGCAGATGAATAATGCTACGTGATTAGTTAAACATCAGTGAGTACACTGTCAATTAGCATAGCTGAATTTAGGGTTACTCTTGCGGTGCGGTGCGGAGTGGTGTTGTGGTGTTACTCTCTGTGAGTGGAGTAAAAGAATGTGAAAACGTTCATGTCAATAAAATTTTAGATTGAAGTATTGCTTCATTATTCTGAAGGTTAACATTTAGGTCTTCAGCAAGAATACCATATTTATTTTCAGTAGAATTACAGGTGATTATTTTCTCAAAATAGTTTACAAAACCTCAGATAAAACTTGAAGCGATTTGTATGTAACACTGATAATTATATTTTGGATGATGTTTACTAAAATTCAGTAAATTCAGTGAGAAAATAAAGTCATTGAGGTCATGACACATGTTGTACTGAATATCATTTTGCACCTAGAGGGCGATACCACTATCATTCTGTCTGCACTATCATTGGTAATTACTTAGCTTCAGTAAAGGGAGCTTGGTATTATCACCCTCAAGTCATGTGTTAATGGTTGAGACCAGTTACAATAAAACTTAAAGGAAACATACAATAATTTTTTCACTGACTCACTTTATATGCATCTTTAACGCTTCTTCAATGTATGAAAACTACTTGAAATACTTGATTTACCCTTGTTGTGTTGTATTTATGGTTGAAGCATCTCCTTGTTACCAAGTGCAGAATGATTCCTTGCATTGAGTCGCATTACCATACCTGTGTGTACTTTTGCTGATGTTGTCAGAAAAAAAAATGATGGCGATACCTGAGCCAAATGGAGACTACAGGAACCAGTGTACCACTTTGTTTCACTTTGTTACATGAAAAGCATTTGATTTCCTGTAGCTGATGCTTTCAATAAGTGTTGTCTGGAATCAATTAATATCTCTTGTAAAGTTTTGCATCTGCATTTACAGATGTTCATGTAAAGATGTTCAAGGAGTATGCTGAAGTCTTACAGATTTCTAGTACCCTTTTGGCAGAATATCTGCTGTGAAAAGCTAGGTCATAAAAGTGTTTTGGTTGTTCGACAATTTTTAAATTGTTACAATCTTAAAAATGTATCTGTAATATTTTCAAATAAATTCAATGTTTCTAAGAGTAAAAGCAATATTAAAATTCCCCATTTTCCTCATGTTCAACAGGAGTAGTTACCTTGCCTTTGTCCACAGCCAAAGTAGTTTCTAATAAAATAGTTTAAACAGCTTGTAAATTTCTGGTTTTGTGAAGATGATTACTTGTAGTTGCTACATTGAAGAGGGTCCATTTTTGCGGCTTTGAGCAGTACGTTGTGTATACATATATACATGGAGACCTTTATCTACTGTCCTGTTAGAAAACAGCTAAGCAGTGTTTCTCCATTCATTGCCAGCAGACATGATGTTGAGTCACTATACATCTCGATCTACCAACAGCGGCGGAACGGTGTTGAAAGTGGGAGGGGCAATTAGCCCCAGCCATTAGAAAAGAATACAATTATGAAGTTGCAATGTACCTCCAGTGGCTGGTAGGCCTATAAAGTGGGAGGGGGGGAATAAAAGCCTTTGCAAAGGTGGGGAACCCCCCCCCCCATATTCTGCTGCCGTTGCAATCTACTAAGTATCATAAACGGGAAAGTTGTTGCTTAGAATTAATTAATTTTTCAGAGTTTTGTACATCTGTGACAAGTATTTAACTTATACTTTGAGGTACATTTACTCACTGATTTAACTCGATTGGATTTTTTGTGTTCATTCATTGACTGAATGCAAAACATTGTTTTGTCATATGCTGTCTCCAAGGTGATATACGCCTGCAGTGTGTTTGTTCATTACTGAAGTGTCCACATCATCACCACTGTCATTATATGACAAAGTGACTTCTGTGCCCAATTTCACGAGGCTCCGCGTATTTCATGGAGACTACAAGCACTAAGCACATCACAGCAAAAGGTGCTCTAACCTTGGAGGAAACATTTGCTTAACTAAGTGACATAACAATGAAAATCTCCATGTGCATCCAAGGCAATGGAAACTCCTCAATTATCTCACAAGAACAATCTAATTTCTTGATTCTTCTAAAGACAATCAGTATAAATATCCTGTTTCAAATCTGTCGAAATATTAACGTCAAGGAACATGCAGTATTGTACTCGATCAACTTCTTTGCCACTTATGACTGAGGGAATGATGCTAAAAGTGGTCTTCCAAAAGTCTACAATAACTTCCTTTGTCTTATTTAGATTCAATTCTAAAGTATTCTCAGTGCACCAGTTAATGATAGATTAGATTTCAATTCGGTGTGATGTCTTATCATTGATCTACCCTCAAACTATCAGAAAGTAATCAACACGGCATGAATATCTATGTTCAGAAAATTGTCATGAGACGTGAGTAATGCACTGAATGAAACCGCACCATGTGTCAATGTTCCAAGGGTTATTGCCAATGGAGTTCTGGGTACAAACAAGATCACAGAGTACACGTACTTGACCCACTAACATTCCTTCTGTATATGGAAAATCCCGGAATAAATTACGTAAATTGGAACTCTACTCAAGTTGTAATCAGATTAAATCTAAACCTTTTACTCATCTCTTTATGATCTTCACCTGTCAGTGTGACATCTTAGTATTTCATTCTATTTAATGCTGAATTGCATTAATTAATGAACACATCATGAAAAATTAAAGCATGTATGACTATTTTAAAAGATTCAGATCTACTCATTCAGAAATTTTTAGAAATTTGGATTATTCCATTAAATGTGGTTGAAAAAAGTGTGGACTTTACTAAAGTCCACACTTTAGTGATAGAAATTGAAACCAACATCAATGCAAGTAGTACATTAATGAGAAATGGCAAAAAATGTACCAGTTGAGTTTCTTTGATTTGAACAGGTGAGGACCCAAAGATCCAAACTCATTCAATTTCAGCATTTCTCATGGTGCATTGAGCAAGAACATTTCTCACTGCACGTAACATTGTGATAACTTAAGATCACGATTGCAATTTCTGTGGCTATAAGACAGATTTTATCTTTTTCAGTTTTAAAAAGAATATACAGTTACAGAGTTTTCTGAATAGAGTGACATCACAAGAGTGATTTTAGACTACCGCTACCTCATTTGCTAATAACCAATAGATATCATTCCCATGCAGTGATTTTTATGCCAGACTTATTCTGACTTTTTCTGTTGGAATAAAGCATGGAATGATTGATCTTGCATTAATAACCAAGGGATGATTAAAGGTCACGAAAAATATGACAATTTCTTCCTTCTGACAAGCTTTATAAGATACTATTTAAATTTAATGGCTATTGTTGTCAAATGGTTTTCTTAGATGGGAGGGGATGCGCAGGACTTGGTTTGAAGTTTTTGATTTTATCCTTTCTGACTACCTACATGTATTTGCAGGACTCTCAGGGAGAAAAGTCAAACGTCACTGACTTTGTCTAGTGATGGAGAATCATTTTAAACCATTACAAAACCAGATTTTCTTTGTTACCAAGGGGAAATTCCCCTGGGTTTTCCCTAAGTATACATCGTCTGTTTACTTTTTATGTGCAGTATTATTGACAGTGTGACATTTAGACCCTTATCTAAAGTACCCTCGCAGTTGAAAAAAATACAAAGTCCTTTTGATTGATGGCATTTAGTTCCAAGTGTTATGTAGTAAGAATGGCAGAATTGCATGTAGTCTTTTTTGATGGTTGAGTTCAACGGTGTGTGTGGTACTGAAGAGAGGTATAGCCTGCATATATAAATTGTATCTTCTCAGACAAAAACAAAAATCAACATGCATACATGTCAGTATTGCAAATTGCAATAGTATGAAAGCTCCGGTGGCAGAAGGGGGAGGGGCTGTTACCCCCTCCCTACCTTTGAAAAGGTAATTATTTTGCCCCCTGCCCCAACTTTATAGGCCTACCAGTGGTTGAAGGTGCATTGCAACTTCATAACTGTATTCTTTTTGAGTCTATTGGCTGAGGCTAATTCCCCCTACGCACACACACTTTTAAAACCATTCTGCCGTTGCTGTATGAGAGTCAGCATTTCTTTATCACTAATAAAAAGAGCTCTTGGAGGAGGAAAAATTATAGCAAAATGTTTGGTGGTTTGTTTTTGTTTGGGACATCTTTCACTGCCAAGAAGTACACATAAATGTGTCGAATACGTAGGCCCACAGACAGCATATCATTTGAATTGTTCCGTTCAAAATATGTTGGATCATCCTAAAAATCGACACTTATTTGTGCAGATACACTGTGTCAACAGTAATGCTGGCGTGAAATATATTACTTGATTTGATCCCCCACACCGTGACCAATAAAATATACTGAAAAAAGTTTTACTCCCGGGTTTGAGAAACTGATTTTGTCATCTAGGGCCCACCTGGATAAACAAAAGAAAACACATGCATTTTTTCTAAGGCCTCAGATGTAATTTATTATTTGGAAAATCAATAAACTATGACTCAGGCAAACATATTTGGGTAATTCCCAGATTTTTTTTTTTTGCATTAATATTCCATATTTTCTCTCTTGTAAAATAACCATGGTAATTCCCCAAGTGATTAAGCCGATGATTGAGGGCGCTACATCTCTGCTTTATTATGTGTGTTGTGCACGTCTTTGGTATTTTTTCACAGTTTATTTCCGCATAGACATCTGATCAGCCACGCAAAGTGATATGTCCCGCGTACTTGCTGTACGCTTAAATACATGGACACCATTCCAGTATCTGCGGAAATAACATGCTTTTACAAGTCACGCCAGTCATCAAATTCAGATTTATAAACTGCGCCAAACTTGAATTTCAACGAATTTCTCAACTGTAATTCCGCTGCATGATTGTGCACCTGCACTGCACTGGCCTGTTCCTTCATGGGTATTCCAAGTCGCCACCGCTGGCCGTCACACGCCAGTGACCGTCGGAGGCAAATTATTCTGATGTTGACAGTTGCGGAACTAAACTTTTCTTCGTCTGCACAGAAATACCGAATTGCTTATTGATCCAGCAGACGTAGCTAGTGGACGTCAGAAGAACTTTCAGCTCCACGCTGCATCGCATTTTTGCATTGGTGAAAAGTTGTCGAGATGCGGGTTTTTTTACGCGGAGACGTGGTTCAGCCCGGTTTGTGTTGCAGTCCCCGTGAACCTGTAGAATGGTGGAAACAGTGCGCGAACGTTGGCCTTCGGGACGGCTGTGTGCCCACGATCGGGCAAAGTGTGGTTCAAATCACCGGACTGGAACCGGCAGTCTGGTTCAAGGTATGATGGCTATAGCAAAATTCATATGAGCATATCCTACAGCCTGGGGATTGTGTAGTGTGTAGTTTGGGACCCCTGTATTGAACAGTTTTACACAACAGGTCAGTCCCAAAATAATGTAGTCAAAGGCAATGTTCTCTCTCGTATTACTATGCTCAACCCGGTTGGTTTTTTTATTTGGCCATTTTTTTTAACCCAATGATTAATCTTAAAAATTGAAATCCGGTTCTCTTTCCACAGAATTAACCCTACAGCTACATGTATTATGTATGTATTCAACGTAAATTTTTCATTGGCCGCAGTAGGCCTAAACCTATCTTTACATGATGAACAAATTTTTCCCAAAAGTAGTACTGGTACACCAGCCATCAGAAAGTGATTACGTGTCCTAAGATATCAAATTTAGCAAAGAAAACATTGAAGTGTTTACTTACATGTGGAAAATGGTAAGAATTCCAGACCAGTCTTGTAAATGTTTGGTTGTGCTAAATTGTGCACAGGGTTTCAAGTGTGATGTCTATCCATGGAGCAAGGAACACACGTCTTAGTTTACATGGAACTCTCACTGGTTAATTAAAATAGAGGTAAACAGAGTGAACCTGGGTCCTGCATGTTTCACAGTATGATTTAATGAAAGAAACTACGGTACATGTAGATCTGCCCTTGTCTGGAACCAGACAGATGTGAAGAAGAATCACCCTTTCATTACCATCATATGAGTGTGTGGAGGAACAGTTGGAGAAGCTAACCTAAAAATGTCATGGCTCCTTTTTCCTTGTATCGTTATTTGGTGCTGATTTGCACCTTTCATTTACTCTTTATTTTCCACCTAATTATATGCAGTAAAGATTTAACAGGAAGGAAACTGGTTGTGGAAGGGGTCCCATTGAAATACTAAACATTATTACAGACAATACAATAATTATGACATACAATTAGACAAGAAGACAGTAGGACATGTAAATACTAAGTCTTTTAACCCTGTATGACACAAAAACTAAATGATGTTAAATAAAATTTGAATACCCACTTAATAGTTTAGCTTTATGTTTACCTTTGAATGTTGTAGGTTCCCTAGATTCTTTATAGAGGTGTCTAGGGAATTCCACAGCCTGGGGCCCTCATGATTGACTGTATTTTGTGTGAGAGTAGTATGTGGAAAAGAATGATGAAGTTTCTTGTGTTGTCTGGTGAAATGGTGGTGCATTTCTTCATTTTTGATAAACATATAACAAAAGGATTTAGGTATTTTTTTAGTGTTGAACTGGTGCATGAGGATCCCAAGCTGAAGGAAATAGTTATCATTTACTTTAAGAGTTTTTGTACAAATGAAACAGCGGGCTACTATGTTAAAAGGTAGGTGGCAGAGTGGATCATTCTTAAAGCTTTTTTTGCAGTTTAAGTATTCTATTGCTTAAACTAACCCCGCCATTACCCCAAGCTAATATCCCATATGATAGATATGGTACAATCAAAGTACATGTATTGTAAAGTTTAAATAATATATCCTGTGGGAGAAGCAGCTTTAGTTTACATATAACTCCAATATTTTTTTAAACAGTCGTGCAAATATTACTGATTTGTTTTTTTCCATGAAAGATTCTGTTCAATATACAGACCTAAGAATTTGACACAATCGGTTTTATCAATTTGTACATCATCAATAAAGATTTCAGGTATTTCATGATGTTGCTTTTTACTAAACAGCATATAGTTAGTCTTCTTAATATTAAGAGTCAACCTATTTGCTTTAAGCCAGTTTAAAACTTTGGTAAGCTTGAGATTAACATTATGATAAAGAATATCAATATCAGGGTTACTGTAGAATAGGTTACTGTCATCAGCAAATAATATAAAGGTAAACAAGTCTAACACAAAGTCATTTATGTAGAAAATAAAAGTGGCCCAAGAATTGATCCTTGCAGAACTCCATGAGAAGCTGTACTGACAGAGGACTGAGTACCATAAATAGGTACAAATTGCTGACGATTTGAAAGGTAACTCCTGAACCACTCCAAGGCGGTTCCTCTAATGCAATAATAAGCAGGTTTGTTTAGAAGTATAGTATGATCGATTGTATCAAAGGCCTTGGACATGTTGGAGAGGTCCAGGAATAAACCGATTGCAACAGAGGATGCATCTACGTGTAAATTATTAGTTATTTTATCAATTAGGTGAATAATAGCATGTGAAGTTGAATGGTTTTGACGGAATCCAAATTGAGCATCAGAAATTATGTCGTGTCCACCTAGAAAGTCCATCAACCTTAACAGTCCCAAATCCTCCAATTTCAATATGATTTTACATACACCCTATACTAGGGGGTTAGGGTTATACCCTTGTCAATTATTCATTCAAGAATTTTTCAAAAAGTAGTAAGAACCGAGATAGGTCTATAATTATTTACTTGGTCAAGATTGCTACTTTTAAAAATAGGATTGACACGAGCAACTTTCATATCATTTGGTACTACACCTGTCAATATAGACATGTTCATAATAAAGGTTAACGGTTCAGAGATTGCCCGGATCACTTCCTTAACCAGTGAGTTACCATCAAAGCCAGAGCTCTTTTTGTTTGGCAACATATGTACAATATCAGTTATTTCTTCCTCAATAACAGGACTTAAGAATATAAAATTAGGTGGGGGGTCCAGTAAATAATCAGAATAATTGAGATCATTAGAAGGAATTTGATTACAGAGGTTTTTACCAATATTTGTAAACAAATTCATCAAAATGAATAGTAATCAAGTGTAGATTGCTGGTAGCAACAAATTCTACATCTGTACTTATTTGCGGTTTAGAGTTATTAATTACCTCCCCAGTATTTTTAATATTACCCTTTTCTTTGTCGAATTGTTTTGTATAATAAGTACGTTTAGAGGTACGAATGGCATTAGTTAAAATGTTTTTATAGCGTGTGTATTTAGTACGATTTGCATCTGTGGGGTTTGACATAAAGCTAAATAAAGATTAGCACCCTGCATATTAAAGTGAGGACCAGTCATATTTGTGAAATACTTGGTTTAAGTTAGCTAGATTTTCGTGAGAATAATCACGTACGGAAGTGACGCATGGACTAGGATGATTGACAGTCAAGCTAAAGAAAGTAAATATAGGAAAATGATCGGATATATCCGTAACCAAGATCCCAGATTTAGGAGGGCGTAATATATTAGATATTATTGATTAAAGTTGCAGATGCAGTAGTGACCCTAGTTGGATTGGTAATAAGTGCCAGACATGAGGAGGAGTACTGGGTAAATTAAATCTAAGAATTCCTGAGGCTGGCTATTAGAATTGATCAGGTTTAGATTAAAATCTCGGATAAAGCATTCAGGTCAGGTCCGCATACATATTGCGGATTTGTTGATAAATATAAGGCAACCCCTGCACCAACTCTGCCAACACTTTTTTTAGTCAGAAGAGTATATCCAGGTATGTTTAAACTATTTATATAGGAATTTTCATTCAGCCAGGTCTCACACAATCCAATGACAGGGAAATCATAACTAAGTGAGTATAAAAGATTTTTTAGGTGGTCTATGTTTTGGGGTAAACTATGTTTATTTAAAGAAAGAAGTGAAAAATTATCAGCAGGGACTTGATTTAAAAAGTCCACAAATTTATCATATGAAGAGTAACTGGAATGATTGACAATTTGATAAGGATTATCAGGATCACTGACAAGAGGCAGTTCAAGAGAGTTAAGATAGGGACTAATTAAATTTTCTACGTTAGTAAATTGGTAAATATGTGGGCCCAAGACTGAATTCAGAGCCGCAAATTCCTGAGAATCCAAGGAATTAAAAGGAAAAATATCCTTAAGATTGGTCAACCAATCCGTCTCTACATTATAGTCACATACATGTACATACAATGTACATGTACATCATGTACATTTATGATACTGCATAGTACTGTATATATGAAAAATAGGCCTGTACACGCGCTGATACCGTGTTCATGTACTACATCGACAGGCTCNTGTGACTCAAAAGCCTGGAAAATGTCAGAATAAAAACCAAAGTGGGGTGGAAATTAATATTCTTCCAGGGAAATCCTGCAGTTTGAGGAGCGGACTGAGGGATGGATTTGAACCAACCGGTACATATATGTAGGTCACAAACGTACAGTGTACGTCGTGTACAATGGCAAGAGAGAGAGTAGTCATTCTAACCATGTGTACTTTACATGTAGGTACCAACACATGTACTTTCATGAATACCACATCCCGTCCCTCTGAAATCAGCTTTGCAATTTGTATTCATAATCAGTAATAATGTAGTAAATTTCCAACTGAATTCTCAACATTTCTGTATAGACCACTCTCATTTTACCTACAATTTGTACGGCAGCCCAAAATGGCAGAAATATCACCATTTGGTCGATTTTCTTTAAATTACCTCAAATTCCTTTCAAATGTACCAGTACATTTGTCCCAGTCATTCCAAAGAGAGTTGTATTTTCATTTAGTAACCAGTAGTACATGTAATTTTTTTTTAGTATTTTGATACCGGTGGCTGCTTATGATTTTTAAATTTTGTGAAGCTCTTTACTTTTTGCTGAAGGCCAGCCATACCCGTTGTTTTAGCAGCCACTAGTTGGAAACAAAGGACCACAACAGAGAAAGAGCAGACCCAAGTAACAATGTTATAGGGCAACCTTTGTTGTGTACATGTACATGTAATCAACATGGGGAGTCAGGTTGGTGTAGTGGGGAGCCAGGTTGGGATAGTTGGGTACTAATGCGTCTTTATGAAATGATGTTTTCAAAATGCTCCCATTTCAACATGAATCACTCTCCTGGACTGAAATTTTGACTGAATGTCCCTTATATGAAACATTTCAATTTGCAACAATTCTTACACGTTAAAAATTTCTCCTTTTTGAGCAATTTCAACATATCAGTTTCGTGAAATCCTTGTGGAGACCTATTCACCTTTAGGAATTCCTTGTGGAGACCTATTCAACCCATTCTTTAGGATCTCTACAAGG